AAAACAAAACAACCATAAACATGATTTATATTTACAACACTATCATTATCACAACATTTTTATGATTTTTTTTGGTATAAATTTTTATATATGAATATAATTTTTTTTTATTTCCACCATTATACCTAGATCAGATCAATTTAATCTAGATATATTTAACAAGTATAAAATTTGTATATACAAACTTCAAAAAAAATTCATTGAATACAACAAAATAAGATAATGTACTGAATTTTTTTTTTTGTTGGTATTTGGTGAATTTAAAAAAAAATCAAAAAATATTATATTTCTCAAGTATCAGGTGTATCTAAAAAATAAAAATAAAAAATTGCTTAAAATGTTAAAAAAAATTAGTAAAAATACAAAAAATACAAAAAAAATGAAAAAAAAAAACTCATTTTTTTATGTGAGTTAAACCAAAAAAGATGATCGTTAGTTCCTTAAAATGACATGAACAAAATATCTATATTATTTTATATGTATAAAGGTTAAAGGGAAAATATGTCATTTTAATCGGACAGGGGGATAAGTGTAATTTTTCAAATGTAAGGGAGGATCTATATTAAACAAAAACTTTAGGGGTATCAATGTAGTTTACCCAAAAAAAGGGAGGCACCCCACGTGGTCTCTGCTCTCCCATCAAAACTTTATTTATTTATTAATTATTATTATTATTTATATATCTATCTCAATATCTATATCTATATGTACCTACATATATATATATATACATAATAACAAATACAATTTTAGTAACACTACAATATTTTGTGACATAAATAATAAAATAGTATAATTATTTCCTCACTACAAAATATATTTTGTTTGACGGTACGAATTATAAATATTCATAACTCTCATAGTAGTAAAATAAATAATAATAATAATAAATCTAGGGAGCCTCCCAATTTTATTTAAAACTTTATCATAATCCACTTGGCAGCAACCTTGGGGCCTATTTTATTTAAAAAGGAAAAAAAAGAAAAGAAAAGTGCTCCATGAGGCTTTGCTCTTGCGTTTGGTTTCAAAATTAGTTTTGCATGCGGCATTTATCCATGCAAAATTCAAACTGTGAATGATAGTGAGACCACAGTGTAACAAAATTAAAAATACAGGGTTTAAATTAAAATTACAGTGGCTAAACTGACATTTCATTTAAAGACTAATGGTTGTTCCTTAACCTCAAAACCCTTTATTTTAAATTCTATGGATAATTACCAAAAAAAAAAAACTCCAACATTTGACCCTTACAATAAGAGAAATTTTGAGTTTTCAATTTTATTAATTTAAACCTTAATCTTTTAATTTGTTTTCAATCTAAATCATTTGTTTTAATTATTAAACTCAATATAGGTATACATAAAATGTCCAAAATACCCATTTTCATTGAGTTTAATGAATAACATACCCATTTTTCTGTTAATTTTACTTAACAAAAATAGGCAAATGATTCAGATTGAAAACAAATAAAAAATTCAGGTTTTAAATTGACAAAATTAAAACTCATGGTTTATTTTGTTACAAGGGTTTAAAAAAAAAATTGTGTGTAATTTCCCCCAAATTCTTCCAGCCAAAATACAGTCTTAGTATTTTTAAATAAGAGGAGTTGCGTGTAAATCCTAATATGTAGATTTATTATCCAATATGTCCTATGAGAATTAATGGTGTTTTTCATTAATCACTATTAAAAAAACGTCACTAATTGTTAATTTTCAGCGAAAATTTGAAAATTGTCACAAAAAATGTCATAATTATAAGGTGTAAGACAGTTTAAAAAAATTATCACAAAAAAAGTCACTAATTTTCAACTTTCAGTAACAATTTGAAAATTTTGTCATAGAAAAATGTATTGTAAGTTTTAGCGACAATTTATAAAAACCTAAACAAAAAAAATCACTAATTGTTAATTTTTAGTTACATGCAAAAAATTGTTACAAAAAATTATTGTTAGTGATGATTATAGCGATCCCGGTTATCCCTTTACTGTTCTGTTGTGTTCCGGACTCGGTTCCGTGAAGTTGGTAGTGGTATCTATCTTGTTGTGTCCTTTAATTCCACATGATTGAGTTTTAGGATGTTTTGAACAGGGTCGTTACAGGTTGGTTAGGCCTTGGTTTCAATTCCTTGCTGTTTAGTTTTTAGGCGTTCCGCTCGAGCGGGTCTTCTTGCGCTCGAGCGGGTATTGCACACCTTCAATATTTCGGGTTGCTGCAAAACTTCTGCAGATATGATTTTTGCGCTCGAGCGGGTTTTTTTACGCTCGAGCGGTGGCGCTCGAGCGGGTTTTTTTACGCTCGAGCGGTGGCGCTCGAGCGGATCGTTTGGCGCTTGAGCGGGTAGTACTTTCTGGGTGTAAGTTCTGGGAGGTGGAAATCTGCGCTCGAGCGAACTGGTTTTCGCGCTCGAGCGGAAGTGCTTTGTTTTTGTGTCTTGGCGCTCGAGCGGGCCTTATTGCGCTCAAGCGTGTTCAGATTTTTGTTCTTGGCGCTCGAGCGTTGTGTTCTCCGCTCAAGCGGGTCATACGTATATGAGTTATCCGCGGGTTGATTTCAAATCACTTTTTGCTTTTCTTTCTCTCTCCTACTTTTTCTAAAAACCGTTTTGAGAGCCTCTCTCTCTAGATACTCCCTTCTCTCTAGGGTTTGATCTAGTTAGAGTGTCCTTTTCCCTTCGGCCTTTGTAAAAGTTGTGTCGATCGTCGATGACGTCATTTTAATCTGAAAATTTCGGGATTTGGAGCATTTTGGTTTTGGTCTTCATCTCCATTGGAGCTCAAACTTTGAGGTAGGGATAACCTACTCCGTTCTATGAACTTTGTCTTTAAATTTTGGTATTTTGAGATGTTGGGGTTGGTTTGGTAATTTGGTAAAAATTTTGGGACGTTTGTGTAAATTTACAAAAGGTTGGGGTTTTAGCTAAATAAAGCCTACATGCATGTTTGGCATGGAAAAAGTGAAATTAATGTTAAAACATTAATGAAAATGGAACCTAAGGGTTGTAATGTTAATTATGGAAAATGCCCTAATTACATTGATTGATTAATTGGTATAATTAATTGTTGGAAATGAGGAATTGAATTGAGAATGTGGGGATTGAAAAGGGAAGGGGTTAAAGGGTGTAGTTGGATTATTTATCGCTCACCTAGTTGAAATGTTGATTATATATCCATTGTTGCATTTATTTTCTGTATAGAAATAACTGCTTTGGGCTATCGGTGGAGGATAGTCGTGATTGTTGTAGACAATGCATGATGATTAGGCAAACGAAAACTAATCAATGGAATGTGTCATGGAAATTGACGGTTGTTAGAATACATTAACTGTATGTATTGAGTGATTGTATATAGAACCAATGTGTTTGTATACTTGTGTGATGATGTGTATAATTGTTGTTTATATGCATTGTGTTGTGTTGGAGGAGATAGGGGATGTACTCCGCGGTTTAGGGGAAGATAGGGGATGAACCTCTAAACCGGATGTTGTTGGAGGAGATAGGGGATGGACTCCGTAGATAGAGCTCATATGCTTATCTAGTAATGTGCTGACAGAGCTCATATGCTTGTCATTGGAAGTGTGATAGTGCTCATATGCATATCTGTGGAAGTGATGATATAGCTTGTATGCTTATCTATTGTTGTGTGATATAGCTAGTATGCTTATCTATTATGAAATGGGAAGTGTTTGATATGAGTCATCATCTCATATGAGTTGTTTGGCCAGGTTCTGAGCCATGGTTGTAAATTGAGAATTGAAAGAAATTGGAAAATGGATTGTAATATGGACTTGTATGTCATGAAACCTGGAAGTGTGATAAGGGAAAGTATCTGTGTTGGCCATCTATTAATTGCTAATCTTTTAGTCATTGTTCATATTTGGTTTAGTGTATTTTTATTGTGCTGTGGCTCACCCTATATGGGAACATCATTTTCAGGTACAGGTAGCATGCCACCTCCAAAGACGTAGCTTGGGAGGCTAGAGGCGGACACACTTTTGTTGTTTTATTTTGATGTATTACATGTATATTCAAGCCAATGGCTTAATGTGTAAATGAGTTAGCACTCTTTTATTGTAACCAAGTGTTAACTTGGAAAGCTGTAAGCCTCTAGGGCATTTGCTTTTATTGTTAACATGTAATACTTTTTGTAAAGAAACTCTGATTAATGGAAGGATGTGGAACTTTTGTAATCAATGCATGTCTATATTGATGGGTTTTATGTTATTATTTTGGGGGCGTGACAATGATTTTACTAGGACTTGATAGAATTTAAGTCTAATAATATATTAGGACCTATTGGTAGTTTACCCTTTAAATAATTTGGTCAAAGTTCACAAAATTACAGTCCAATTCATATTAGTTTAGCTAAATTTTTAGTCAAGAGAAATAGGGCAAATTATACCTGCAGTCTCTATACTTGCCTCTCATGTCAATTTGGTTTCTGTAATATTAATTTTGCTCTTTAATTTTTTAAATTGTGTCAATCTAGTCCAAGTGATAATAGCCATGGAAAATTGAATAAAAATCAAAGGCAAAATGATCTATTAAAAAGGGAATGAATCATTTGAAATTGGATGCGAATCTTCAATAACTTTGAAGGGAAAAAGGCATCTTGTCCCGTAATTTTAATCAAATTTCTAATGAAATATTATCAATTAGATTAAATTGATACCATGTGCAAAATTGAAAGGTAAAATAGATGCAATTAAAATTATAAGAACCAAATTGATATAAAACAAACTACAAGAATTAAATGTCATTTGTCTAAAGAAATACAACACATAAAAACGAAAATTTGTTCCTAAATACTAATTAATTTCAAGTGTAGTTTGACGTTCTTATTTTTTCATCCAACAACATATTCAATCCAAAATATGTTGTGCTCTCATTATAGCCCAAAAGGTCAAATGAAAATAGCAAAATAATAAATAAAATTTATAGACGCCCCACAACAATGAAGCTTAAATAAATAAATAAATAAATAAGCTTAAGTCAAAGAAGCATACCTTATTGAAGAGAGGTTGAATAGTATCGTAATTGCTATCCGAAGTATTGCAAAAACTATTGAGCTTTGGCATCTGGCTGAGTGTCAGCTCGTTCAATTGCAGCAGCTCAATTCCATTCACAGCCTTACAGAGAGCAGTAAAACTTGCCAGGTCTCGAAGATACAAAACCTTTAGTTTAGGAAACACAATTTTATCTGTTGTTTCTGTTGTTGTTGATGCTATCTCATTTTGATCTCCTTCTTCACTCGAAATAAGTACTTCCATCTTACGACATTCAGATACATGAAGTTTCTGGAGTTGCATCAGATCTCTGGCTATGGATAATGAGAACATGCTTTCCAGTTTATGACATCTCTTCAGTCCTAGAGAAGTCAGGTTGCGGAGCCGTACAAGTTGAGTAGGACCCTTCCACAAATGGCCATGACAAATCTCTTTCAATTTATCTAAATTATTGAGATATAGCGACTGCAACACAGGGAAGGCTATTTGTGGAACTGGAACCCCATCTGTTGTGTCAATGACATATTCCAGATCCTGACAATCGTCCAAGGACAATTCTATTAATTTTTTGAAACCATCTTTGTCTAAATCATAGCCAACATTCTTCACACCTACTGCTCGTGTTATTTCTAAAATTTTAGTGATCTTGAGAAGTTTCTTGAACTCACTCTCCATAATATCGCTCTCGTGAAGATCCTCGAGACTCAACTGGTTTTGTAACTGATAATCACGACAATCTCTAGTACTGATCATAGGGCTAATGGTTATAGCGAATGCTCTTAGATTCGTAAGGACCAAGTCTCTTGGCCAGTATGCAAAATGTCGTAGGTGAATGACCAAAGTTGTAAAATTTGACAACCCACACAGCTCAGTCAAAGTCGCTTTAGCTTCTTCTATCCTGTTTTCATCATTAAAGCTAGACCCAAGATACAACTCTTCTAGCTTTGATAAGCTCGACAAAACACCTGGGCAAATCCTCTTCACACCACATCGCAACAAATCCAGTAGCTTCAAGTGACTAAGCCGACCTATTTCTTTTGGCAACTCCTCGATTTTGGTGCGTTCCAAACTCAAAATTTCTAGATTCTCTAATGCTCCTATTACAGATACATCATTGATCAGTCTGCATTCGTATAGTGACAAGCTTCGGAGGTTGGTCAACCATCGCAGGGATGTCAGCAATGATCCTTGTAAGTACACATTCAACATGCTTAAAGCTTTGAGTTCCTTCATCCCTCCGTAGAAACTATCAGGAAGTTTTGATGCATAACTGCCCTCCAGCCGCAAAAGATGGAGTCTTGGAAATTCTAGATTATCAGGCAGCTGGCTCATACCAGTGCATCGCAATGAAATTACAGCGTGATTTTTGTGTCGTTCTTTCTCCGGCCATTCTTTCAATGTTTCGTCACATCTTACCATAAATGAATGCTCCTCCCTAGATGCTATTGATATAGTAACATCACGAACTACATCATGCATTTTAACACAACCTCCTCCTTCACCATCCATCAAGAGATAGCTTTTTTTTAACTCATCGACAAAGGCATGTACTCTGTCTCTTGCTTCCTTGACGCTATCAATGGCCTCAAACAACTCTATCCCAACTCCATATCTAACAAGATCTTCAATTGGAATATTAAAATCTTCTGCATATAAGGAGCAAAGCAAAAAGCATTCCTTAATTTCTCTACTTCCTAAGAAGTTGTAACTCAACTCCAGAGATTTGAACACCTTTTCTTCTACTCCCCTGATGTTTTTTACCATGGACTTGCGTAACTGTAGAAGGGCTGAATTCCATGAATGCCTATCTTTATCTTTGAGTGCCCTCGCAACTGTAACAATAGCAATCGGCAAACATCCGCATTCATCTGCAACTTTCTTCTGTGTGATATACAAATCAGTACTTGTGTGACTTGTGTCATTGGAAATTCCAGCCATCTCCTCAAAGAGATTCCATGCTTCTTCTTCAGTTAAGACTTCAACTGTAAATTTCTTTTGAGCATCCATATCATTGCATACATTATCAAATCTAGAAGTTAGCAAAATTTTGCAACCTCTATGATCATATCCAAATGGAATTCCTATGTCATTCAGTTCGAGACGCTCCCAAACATCGTCCAATATGACAAGGATTCTCTTGGTGCGCCTTAGTCTTTCACGCAGTCGATTTGCTCTTCCACGTTCAGTCTCCTCCCCATATTCCAAACCCAATTTATCTCCAATTTCACCTTGAATCTTCCTTTCATTAGGACTTTGGGACACTACAGCCATCACAACGTCATCGAACAATTTCTCTTCTTTTGCTCTTTTGGCAACTTCTTTCACCATTGTTGTCTTACCAACACCTCCCATCCCACATATGGCAATCATGTGGAATCCATCATACTTCAGTGCCCCCATGACATCGTTCATAATCAATCTTCTAGATTCAAAAACCTTAATACCTTCAGTGGATGTGGATTCTATCCCTGGTGGAGGCTCCTTGTAGGCCACTTCTGTCAGTTTCCTCTCTTCGTGCAACTTAGCCACCTCTTTTGCCTTGTTGGTTGCTTTCTTACCGAGCGAGTAACGTAACTTCAGGTTTGGACACCACCCATATAGACACCCTTTGTTTGCTTCAACTTCATCTTTTAGAATTTCTCTGGCCTCTTCGCTGCATTTATCAACCCTTTCCAGCCACCCCTTAACATCAGGTCCAATAACTTTTACATTTCTTTCTGCTTCATCGACTGATAGCTGCATTGCACCTCTTTTCTCATCCAACTTCTCGACTTCTTCTTTCAGATTCTTGACCTCGCTTTTATAGGAAAATAGATAACCAAAATGACGGCCAACTGGAGCCATTAGAAATTCTCCAATCTTGCCTACAATCGGACCAACAAAACCAACCCAACCAGTAGCCATTTCTCAATTCTATTTCAGTTATGTACCTCTCTCTCTGTTTCTTTTCTTCTTCTTCTTCTTTCCGTCCCTTTTTCTGCAATGCAATATGTAAAACTAGAAGAAAACAAACAACTACTGAAAACAGAATGGTAATTGTTGAACACAAAGTTAAAATAGAGTGGCAGAGGAAGAGATTACAAAGATTTCTAAAACAAAAGAAGATATACAGAGATTTCTTTATCCTGGTAAGTAACAGTTGAACAAAGAGAAATACAATTTTGTAGAGGATATGAAGATATCAAAGGAACACTTTGCAAGAGGGGATCTAAAGATTTTTTTTTTCGTTTTGACAAGCTAGGTTGAATATAGAGAATTACAATATAATTGGACAAAGAGAACTTGTGTCGTAAAACAGAAATTGCAAAGATGAAAGTGAGCCTAGTAAAATGAAAACAGAATGCAGAGAATACTGATTTGGTAATTGTTCAACACAGAGTTAATAAAATAGAGTTGCAGAGGAGAAGATCACAAAGTTTCCTAAAATCAAAAGAGAATACAGGGATTTTTTTTTTTTTTTTTTTTCTGGTAAGCAACAGTGGAACACAGAGATTTATAATAAAACTGAAGACAGTAAGTTGAGATCAGTCGACAGTGAAGAAAAATAATAGAATTTAAGTGGAAGTGGAAGTGGAAGTAAAGAAAGAAAAACCTTGGAAACTTTCCAGAGTCTCTTAGAGATGAAACATGCACAGCCTTAACAACTCACGGTCGACAGGGAAGAGAAAAGCTTTTCACCAAAAACAAACAAGACCATTAACATCCATCAAAGAGAAACAATTAGATTCAGAGAGGTTTTGAAGGAGAGTTTGAGGAGGAGAGAATATTTTGAGATCAGACCAACACCTAATCCCTGCACCATCTGATGCTCTTACATCTAAAATTAATTTTTTATTGATTACTATGAGGATATTTTGTGAATATTCGTTGCTCCCTTGCGTGTGTTTTGCTTTGTGATATTTTTTATTTAAAAAAAAAATGTTTTTTTAGAATGGTGTATTATTGACCGCACTACAATCTAATTTAGCGAAGGGAAGTTCAGTAATGGCGGACACAGGGCCGGCAAGGGGGGGGCCACTGCCCCTGCAAATTATTTCCAAATTTTAGGTAATATTATGCATTTTCCCCTCTAGTCTACAATTTGTGAAAAAAATAAAAAATAAAAAAATATTTTTCAAAGCCTCAAATTACTTCCAGTCTTCGATTAGAGTTATCTTACAATACTATATATAGTATGTAAATTATGATCTAAATTGATGTTAGTTACAAGTTATTGTATCTATGAGACTAACAAATTATCAAATCAAATTAGTTACAAGTCATTGTATCTATTAGTTACGATTCATTGTGATTTTTGGTTATTACTAAAATAATCTTTAATTATGACTCAAATTTGTGTTAGTTATGATTCGTATCGTATGTTATCATTTTTAAAAGGCAACAACTCTTAGTAAAAAAATAGAGAAAGCTCTATTGAAAAAAAAAAATAAAGCAAATGAAAGAGAGAAAAAACAAAAAACTAAAGTTAGAAAAGTGCGAGTGTATGAATTCAATATTTTTATTCGATCTAAATAATTATAATGATTAGAGGATTAATGAAAATTTTTAAATATCAAAAAATAATAAGTATTAAACATAAATCTCAAAAGTGTACGTGTAAGTTACCCATGAAAAAAATAAAAATACTAAACCCAGGCTCTTTGGATTGAGATGCTTAACATTGTTCAAACACATTATTTTAATCTCTATCTCTATCCATCGGACAAAGCTAGATGCTTTTATGCTTTCATGGACCACATTCCATGTGATGCGAGTGTCCCACTTTGCTTTTCCTTTTGGTCAGCAATGACTGGGGCCGAGTAAGGTTTAATTTGGTTGGGTTTAAGAATAAAAATTTGTTTGTGAATATATTATTTTAATAAATTTTTAATTTTTATAAAAAGATATATAAAAAAAGAAAAGTAAAGAAATGATATGATTTAAAAAAGATAGAAAGATAATAAGCATGTTATTTTAAGTTGTTCCCAAACAACCCATAAATTAAAATTAAAATCAAATTATTATTGATGATTTTAGAAAATTTAGAATTAAATTAGATTATGAAAATTTTATAATCAAATTAGATCGAATAATACTATGTTGATTGTTTCAATTTAAAATCACGAATTTTTATAACATTGTCATTATTCATAAAATGATTATAAAATTTATTTATAATTTGTTCAAACATTAATATATCATCATTTTACAAATAAAAATATTTGAGATAATTATTTTAGAATTAATTTTATTAGCATACAAAACACACTTATAAGAGTAAAACGTTAACAACTTATGTATAAAAATGAGATGCTAATAAGATATTTAAGTAACTTATATTAAATAAAAAACTATATATATATATATATATATAAAGAAAAATGATTTGGTTTCTCTCACGTTGTCATCTTTTTCTCACGTTGCCATCTTAACTTGAGAAAGTGTATGGATTTGGTAGGTCTATTTTGAGACCAATTTTGGTGATTCAAACCATTCACTTTTTTGGATTTGTTGAGTAGAATATTCATCGAAAAAATTCAAGATAATTGGATATCGATAGCTATAAGTTTTATATCATATTTGTTTTACAAAATGAATGATAAATATAATTTTAAGAATAGCCATTCATTTTTTTAATTCAAATTTGATTCAAACATATAACTAACGATATTCGATAATCTTGGATTTTTGTATAAATATTTTACTCAATGAGTTTTAAAAAATAAATAGTTTGGATTATTGAAATCGTTCTTAAAATGATTTTACTAAGTTCAAACGCTCTCTTAAATTTGTGAAAAGTCCATCCCTAAGATATTTAGATCAAAGGTAAAAACTTGTTTGATGATTATTGATTCATATTTGAAAAATAAACTAGAAAACCCCTAGATGTTGATTTGTGATTATGTAACAAATTTAAGAAGAATAAAACAATCCCAATCAAACAATCAAGACAAAGAGACAACGATTTTAACGTGGAAAAAACCACAATTGGACACCGCCAATTGTGATAAAAAAACCACGGGCAACAGCCACAAGAACAATCCACTAAGAAGATTTAAAGGAATTGCACAGGTATACTCTCAATTACCTAGCGAATCCACAACGCCTAATTGAACCAACCTCTATGTGCCTCTTCCAACCCCATCTTCACTACGAAATTGTCTTTCTGATGAGCCACTCTGGATTCCACCACAGCTTCAGGCTCGAATTCTTCAGAATACACAACTGAAGAACAACACTCTCTTTTGTAGAACAATAAATTAGATTATGAAAATTTTATAATCGAATCAATACTATGTTGATTGTTTCAATTTAAAATCACGAATTTTTATAACATTGTCATTATTCATAAAATGATTATAAAATATTATTTATAATTTGTTCAAACATTAATATATCATCATTTTACAAATAAAAATATTTTAGATAATTATTTTAGAATTAATTTTACTACTATACAAAACACACTTATAGGAGTAAAAGGTTAATAACTTATGTATAAAACTGAGATACTAAGAAAAAGGGTTTGGTTTTTCTCACGTTGTCATCTTAACTTGAGAAAGTGTATGGATTTGGTAGGTCTATTTTGAGACCAATTTTGGTGATTCAAACTGTTCACTTTTTTTGGATTTGTTGAGTAGAATATTCATCCAAAAAATTCAAGATAATTGAATATCGATGACTATAAGTTTAATATCATATTTGTTTTACAAAATGAATGATAAATATAATTTTAAGAATAGCCATTCATTTTTTTTAATTCAAATTTGATTCAAACATATAACTAACGATATTCGATAATCTTGGATTTTTGTATAAATACTTTACTCAACGAGTTTTAAAAAATAAATAGTTTAGATTATTGAAATCGTTCTTAAAATAATTTTACTAAGTTCAAACGCTCTCTTAAATTTGTGAAAAGTCCATCCCTAAGATATTTAGATCAAAGATAAAAACTTGTTTGATGATTATTGATTCATATTGGTTATCTCAACTTGAGAGAACGCTTGGGCTTAGTATGTCTACTTTGGCACCGACTTCGATTATTCGAACCGTTCACTTTTTAGAATTTGTTAAGTAGAATATTCATCATTCAAGTAAAAAATCATGACAATCAGAAATTAGTAACTATACGTTTAAATCAAATTTGTATTATAAAAAATGAATGACTATTTTTGAAATTATATTTATCGTCTATTTTTTAAAAACAAATATGATTCAAACATATAGCTACCGATATCCAATTATCTTGATTTTCTGCATAAATATTCTACTAAACTACTTTTAAAGAGTCAACGGTTCGGATCACCAAAACCTATTAAAAAATTAGCCTACCAAGCCTAAACATTTTTTGAAGTGGTCATCTTAATGTGAGAGAAGCCAAACCCTTGTTTGAAATGGGTTATGATTTAGTTCTCTCTTACCATAGTAGAAATTCAATTAAATTATGCTTTTGACTTTGATTCATTTAAGAGTAAATTGGCGATAAATCCAAACTAAGGAGGGTGTAAGGCATTAGGTTTAGTGAATATATTTTGTTAGTGAGAAATCTACCATTTGTGAAATAGTTTAGTGAGAAGTCTTTGTTTGTTTTAAAAGACATTTTGTTTTTAATTTTATCCCTTAATTTATCTATTGACTTTTGTTGACTATCAGTTCAAAAAAATTTCCTTTATGTTAAATTTTTTTCCTTATCTGTTCAAAAATTTTCCCTATCTGTTTAATTGTTTTCCTATGTGTTCAATTTTTTAACCCTATCTATTTAATTTTTTTCCTTGTATATTTAAAATCTGTGGATTTCTCTCTATTTGTTTAAAATATGTAGATTTCTCTCTATCTGTTCAAATTATCTTATTCAAAAAATCTATCTGTTGAAATTATTTGTTGAAAAAATCTATCTATTGCAATCTATCTGTTCAAATTCTTTTTATCTCTCTTCTCACTATTTGTACAAATAAAATTCAAATTCCACAACAACAACAAATCTCTATGTTTTGAAAATCTATCTGTTTAAATTCAACAACAACAACAACATCTCTCTCCTCAAGATCAAAAACAACAAAAAATATAAATAATAAATAAAAACTTGTACAATAGACACATAAACTAGCCAACACCTCAATATGATAGCAGTAAAATAGGCTGATATGTAAAACAGAAAAAATACTATGATCTAAGGAGAATATCGACTTTGAATCACACTAGTATCATATATTGATAACCCTGCACGTTTGGTTGCTGAGAAAAACACAGAAGCATAACAAGAAAACCAAATATAGCCTTATGCTCACCATTGCTTTGATGTTCAAATGATCAATTTCTCAATTTTTCCCTCATTGTCTTGGGAACCAAAGAGAAAATAACATCAAAATCAACAATCAACAAACACAGAACTTTGAAACACACACACACACACACACACACACACATATATATATTCACATGCAACCGATACACATGTAAATAGAGGAATATATATACACACACACATATGTATAGTATAGAACCAGATCTCCAGATCTCTTTTTCATTCTCGACCATTTTCGGATCCAAACCCAATCTCTCTGACTGTATAGAACCAGATCATCGTCGGACTCTTCATCTTCATCTTCATATTCGTTGCCTAACCATGGTGGTGGTCTAGATCTAGGGTTAGGGTAGGCGGATCTATAGATTTATAGACGTTAGCGTCGGATTGGCGACGGCGAGAATATGATGTAAATGCGATGGTGCGGAGAGTTGTAGGATCGCTTTAGATCTTCTTCTTCTTCAAGCCTTTGGCGGCGTTGGTGGTCTCCAAAGGCTGTGACAAAGGAGTTGGAAATTGCTGTTGAATCGGCGGTGGTGGTACCGACTGTCGGAGTAGAAGCAGAGATGAATGCAAGATCTAGAGAGAGAGAGAGAGAATGAGATGGTTTTGTGTTTTGAGTAGGGAGAGAGAGATGAGAGGACATGAAATCTAAATCGTGTAAGATAGCAGAGGTAATGTAGGGGCATCCTTATGGACATAATAAATTAGCGTCTAGACCTATGGACAAGGAAAGGAAAATTCTATTTCCACACCTAGTTAACTCAGGGCACACACTTAATGAAATATTAATTTAATGACAATTATACTCTAAATAAAAATGGTCATAATAAACATCCAGCAATAGCCATAATATTATATGAAAAAATTCTATGAATAAAAAAAAAATCTCAATGTACACTTTTTGAGTTAAAAAAAGTAAACCCTAGTTTTTTCATTGTTGTCATATTGCTGAGAGAGACTGCATTTTATTTTTTTTATTTTTTTTAGGATTCAACTGAAATTAACTATGAATATTGAAGAACTGGGTTGAGAATTGTTAACCAGTGAAGCATAGTCCTCAAAAAAACAGTGAACGTGCTCTACTCTTTGGTTTATGATTGATTATTTTTGGTTTATCTTCTTATCAACATAAAATGCTCTTTGGTTTATGATTGAAGAACTAGGTTGAAGAACTGAAATTAACTAGGAAGATTGAAGAACTGGGTTGAGGATTTTTTTTTCTTTTTTTGACAAGGGAGGTCTTCAATAGAGCAAGGTTCTTCACTGTGGATCTTTACTTTGACTGTTGTAGCACTGTGGGTCCACAAATTTCCAAACCGTAATAGTAGCAGTGCATGTGGAAGAAGGGTTGAAGAGGTGTGTACAATGGTATGAGTGAAAGATATAATTGATACATTAATTGTGTGGATTGAGAAAACTAATTAATAATTAAATTATAAAGTGTGTGTACTAAGAAATGATATGAATTGAGATAATTATGTGTGTGGAAATAGAATTTCTCACAAGAAAAATCTGAAATTGGATTTTTCAACCGAGCGCTCTTGATTTAATTTCCTTCAAACTTTCATGGAAATCCATCAAGAGTACTCTTGATTCTAAAATCATGCTTTAGCTCATAATGCAACTCTAGTGTTGGTTATGATATAATAAGAAAGAAAATCCCTAAATACCTTAAAGAAGCACTTTTTGGAAAAAGCCAAAAATGATATGATCTGCTACTAGTTTCTGGGTTTTATTTTCTGATAAAACGCTCTCTGGCCAAACAGGTTGTCAGATAATAACCCTACTCCAAAAAGTATTTTACTTATTTTATAACAATATATAATGATAGTTTTCAAATTTTAATGTTACTGGAGCTTTTTATTCATTTTACTTGCTAAGGTGCTTAAAGACATTGAAAGTGTGGTTAGAGTTTACGCTCTGGTCTGGAACAGATTTGAAGCATAGTGGGGGCACAAGTCAGTTGGAAATTCTGTCTGTACTCCAAAAAATGGGGTATGGATATCAGACATTGTTGCGTTTGGTTCATTAATTTAAAGAATAAAAGATAAAAAGTTATAAAAGGTGTCTGATCACTCATCTTTTTACTTTTTTTTTTTTTTTTTTCATAAATCTTTTTTCAAATTTATGAACTAAACACGTCTTAAAGTTTTGGAACAAATGGATATTTTAGTTGACTGTTTGATTATTTTATGAGATGAAAAAAATTGTGTTTGTATGGGATGATTGGAGAATTTTTTCATCGTTGAATAGATGGGCGTGAGACAAAAAATAATTAATTAATATGTAGAATATTACATTTTATCTTATTGATTATTTTAAACTTTTTTGCCTTTATTAATTATTTTAGTCTCAACCCTTGCTTGTTATTCAATTTTGTTTGGTGTTTTAAATTGGCTAAAATAGTCAATAAAGATTAAAAAAAAAAATATTAAAATAATCAATAAGATAAAATGTCACATCCTACACACTAATCAATCACTTTTTTCTCTTATAAGTATCTGTTCAGGTACAAAAAAATTCATAAATTATCTCAAACACAAACTTTTAGAAAATACTACAGGTCCCAACATTTTAATAATGTAACGTACTTCTAGAATAATTTTCGATTAACACATTTCTATATGAGCATTATGACCCATTTTCATGTTTTGTCCAATCAAAACTTCACTCACCTTAAATTTCAGTTGAATTTGATAAGAAAAGTTGTAAGGAAATATATTAGAAAAACTTTTGGAATCGTTTTAGATCGCTAAATTTATCATTTTAAAAGGAGTGTACCATGTTTCAAAATGTGTGTTCCAAAACATAATTCACTAGGATATTAGCATTGTCTGGTAACACTAATCAAAGGCTTTCAAGTATTGTCACATCAAATCATCAACAGACTGAATGCAATGAATCATCACCTAGCACTCTTTCAATTTGAACCACATAACCCTTGCCAATCAAGACCAAGTTCTTTTACACAAGCCCATGCTGCAGTAAAGATTTCCAACCTAGAGCATGTTATTGTCTCAACCACAAATCTGACTATTGTATAAATGGGATTTTCATGTCATAATATCTCCTTAAAACTCCAGCTTCACTAGATAATGATCTCCAACAGTGCATAATAACCACCCATGGGCTAATCACTGAGAACTATCCTGCAGTGAACTCTTTGCAGCACAATAACACTGAATCAGTTAATTTATAAGTGAGCCCCACATTAGTTTCCCCACTCATTAAAGCAAAAGTAATCAAACTTCCAAGATGGAGAACAAAGAGCAGAGAAACACAAGTTTTGGAAGCCATGGAATCTCCCAAGTGTATTAGAAACTAAAATAAGATATAAATTGAACCAGTCATTTCTTATCAAAGATGCCACTAAATACCAACTACACTCGGTGTGCCACAAATTTAACACCGATAATAAAGAATCTCAAGATTCTAAGGCTTCACACAATCCTCATATAAAACTGCAATGTTTTTACAACAAAATTGAGTTCTCTGAAAAAATTAAATTCCACAGAACAAGGTCCTAAGATAATTCTGCAGCTTTATTAACAAAGTACCCTAAAGTTTGCTCTCCCAATATAAACGCCATCATATAAGACACAGCAACCAGAGCAGATGACTATAATGAAACTTGATGAGCACACCGATCTTCAGACTCAAATCTGTTTGTCAGTTGTCCAAATTACCTAAAGGGCCCTGCAATACCATTTGCAATTCAATGCTGTTAAAGAAGCAATGCTAACTATTATTTATATCCACCAAATTTAGTGTCCTATACATGGCCAGGGACTAAGTAACCAAAGTTTTCAAAACTAATCTGCAACATGGCATTAGAAAAATAAGAAAGGGCAGAAAATTAAGTTTTGTGCGCAACCAAAGCCATGTTACCACACAGTAAAAAGGCCCAACAAAAATACACAAGAAAAAGTATGTAAATCTCTAAAAAAAAACACTTTGGGATGGAGAAAGTGGACAAAACAGACTTGCATTTCCAGAGAATAAAAGATGGGTTCCTTTTGAAAACACCAATTTGTCAAATAGAAAAACAGGAGGAGAGAAAAAGAAGAGGAGGAGGAGGAGGCAGAGGAGATAAGGTCCCAGTATCAAGAATTCTAACCTGCAGATGTAAAGTAATTATGCCCTCATTCCAAAGCCTCCAATTAACTCACGTTCATTACAATTACAAGAGATGTGAACAAGAATGATACACCATCAGAGTCCCCAGACCTCAAAAACTCAACTCAACTCAAGAAAGCCTTAGACCACAGCTATTAGGGCCAGCTATATGTATCCTACTACATCTCCATGGACATATCCTCCATTTAATTATACCACCTGCATAATAATAACCGTCTAAACCTAGTTTCCGGAAATGTAATCTAGAGCAGTGCTAGCACCAAGAGTATGTATGTACTTTGGTGAAAAATATCAACAAAAAACAAAAGCCACAGCAAGATGATATTACCCAAAAAAAATACAACAAATGACTTGGCTATAAAATGGCACTTGTGCCATAACAAAGATGATAATAACAATTTAGATTATTTCCTTCCATAAAATTATAATCTTGGTCACTTAACATACAACTTAAATAAACTTTCATCAGTTTTCAAAATCCATACATAATGAGGAATTAATCATGGTTATTCAATGCATACAAACCAACACTGCATTAGTGTCCTAAAAAGAACATTCGGATCAGATAATGTCATCTAGATGTCAAATACATAGACAAGTTATACATGTTTGGTAAATGATAGAAACATACAGCACAGAAATTCCAAAAAAGGGCCCCAGTTCAAAGTCACCAGGAAAGATGAGGTTCAGTAATTTAGAGGCCAACGCCATAATTTAAAATAGAAAACTAGATCCAAACAAAATAAGAAACTAAATATTTATTAAGTCCTAATTAAAAATAAATACACACAAATATTAAATACATAAAATTACAATTATATAATTGTAATTCCAAAATGGGCGCATGTGCGTTCCTCATCAGACCTCTTCCATAATTAGGGAGGGGAGAGCTAAGAACAACGGGAAGACAGTGAGGATGTTGGTTTCTTTGGGCATGATTTGGATAATTTGGGTGAAAGGAATTAAAAGGTTTTTAATGGTATGGAGAAACCAATTACAGGTTGGTAGATTTATTGATCCTAGACATGTGTATTGAAAAAACTAAAAATTAATTTGGTTTAGAAAATGGAAAAAAAAAAAAAAATCATCATCTTCACATGGTTTTATCTTTTGGGGGCAGAAATAAATTTAAAAAAAAATTAAAATATCTTTTAGGTGTTTAATAGTGTCATACTATTTATTATTATTATTTTTTTAATTTCTGAAAACAGATTCTGAAAATGAAACCAAACAGAGCCCATATTTTTTGTTTGGTTACCACAGAAAATTGGGGAGAAAATTCACAAATTTTTTCTTGATCTTTGGATTAGAAGTGGCGCAATCTTTTCTTGAAGGGAAAGCTAGGGGAAAAGCATGGTGTGTGCAGGCTTAGCTCTTTACGGGCAATTTTTTTCCGAGGAACGTCATTGTATACATCGAGTATCGCTCATAAATGTAAAGCATAAAGCACATAAACCCAATTGACACATGATAAGAAAGGTTGGTTTCCTCTTCCAAACTTGCCAATTTGCCATTTTAGAGTAACCACAAGATATCTAGTCATATGGAAAGATAGATGATTGCTTAAAATAAGTAGAAGGTTTTATAATTCACGAGCTCTGTTATCAGAATCTTACGATTCACGATTTGATACATAATTTTTACAAAATCGATACAAATCTATGAGTGAATCTATTTTAGAAGTGAATCTCTAGTGAATCGCACGATTCACAATCGATTCACGATTCGATTCACTTTTTACGATTCATGCAATTTTTAAAATTATTGTGTTCGACATATTTTCGATTCATTTTTTTCCATCTTTTTAGTGAAAATGACATAATACAACTTCTAATAGCATTTAATATCAAAATAACCAACATATATATATGATTTGTTATTATTTTAGTGATCATGGAGTTTTTTATAAGATCCAATCAGATTCAGTCAAACCTAACATATTTTTAACTTTTCTTCTCATTTTTTTCCCCTTCAAAAAATTGTAATATATCTTCTAAAGATGTTTAAGATTAAAGTTACACTATGAATTATCTATTACTATTTTATTAAATTGAATATTACATGTGTGAGGTCAATTATACCTTTTAAAATGTTTTAGGCTTTAAAATAAAATATCCTAAATAATTCTTTCTTATTATTTGCTCACTCTTACTTAGAAAAGTATATATGCTTATTATCCAAATATCAATATCGTTGTTAACTATTGTTACTTTAGAAATTAATAGTATGTCTATTTGGTTATTATCTTTATTAAGAATGGTTGATAAAAAATATCTAAAAAAAGAAAAAAGAAAAAGTAAGATGGTGATTTTACATAGGAACCTTTGTTAACTTCTTACCTATTAAATTACGTGATTATCATTCAAAATAACATTTTTGTTGATTTAAATCTAAATATTTTATATTCATAAGATATATTTAACATCTAAATGTGTAGATATATGTTTTTAAGTAATTTAGAAAAAGCGACCGAATCTTTACGATTCACGATTTGATTCGATTCGCGATTCGGTACGAGACCATTTCGATTCACGATACGAATCCCAATTTGACAACTATGTTCACGAGTGCAAACGTGATTGGGGTATTGTCATTCACATGACTTTGGAAATTCGGGGAAGAGTGTGAAGTTAGTGAAAACTCCATAATTTCATTTTCAGATGAATGATCTCTGAGCTTCCAAGGCCATACCCATTTGACAAAGTAATGAAATTATGGGTACAAGATAATGACAAAATTGTACTAGTTGGCATGAGATCCTACCATTACGATTTGTTTACTAGATTTCTCAATAAAAGAATGCATCATCAGTACAAATAAATGCTAGATATATTAAAATTTTCTACCCATCTTTGCTTATCTATGGACTGTAATAGCAATCTTGAATTACTAGATAAATCAAACACTTGAATTTTGGGTGATAGGTATATTAAATATTTCTTCCCGTCTTTGCTTATCTATTGACTGTAATAGCAGCCTTCAATTACTTGATAAATCAAAACACATTATTTTTTCAGCTTAAACAAGGATTTTAACAATCCAATGAACCAAGTAATTGCCCTAGTATATTTTTTTAATGGTTCTAGCATAATTCATCATTAAGAGTATGTATTCCCAACTAAGAACGCTGTCACAATACACAGAACTCCACATGATTGGAATTTGGATTACTATGCCCTTGGCATGCACATATTAGAGGTCCTTCAGTTGAAGAGGAGGTAACAAGACATGGATTTCCTCAATCAAATTGTGCCAAAGCCTGAGATAGACAGTGGCTACTGAACTCTTGACCAAATTGGATCAGACATACCCAAATCTGTATATGGCTGCCTTTATTATTCATCACCCGTGAATAATTGCTGTTTGTCACTACTTACATTTCCTGCCCATTTCTTACCAAATTTTTAATTAAAAGAACGAATTATCCCTTGCTAAAGCATATTACCATATTATTATTCTTAGGGTCAGATTAGGATGTTCTTTAACACAATCAAAACCACTTTCACTTTTCAATATTAACAACAAAACCAAACCATGTCAGATGATGGTGGTGAGGGAAGTTAAGGACCATGGTTAATATCATAGTTGTGGTGTACAACTACATACAGCATTCTATGAAAGCTTCATACTGAAAATTACAGCTTATGCAAATTACATATATCTATGATTACACCTTTTTTGATCAACTTAAACCAATTAAACCAAAAACGACACAATTTCTGCATTTAGTATGCTAATTCACTCTCCTATTTTGTACAATTGGCTGAGAAAGCAGTTTAAGAGATAAGACACAAAGCAGAACAGCCAAAACTGATCTTAATTTTGGCTCAAAGATTATTCCTTGAATTCATATGACCAGTGTAATCAACAAACCAAACCATCAAAATGAAACAGATTTATAGAAGATGGAACCATCAACACAATTGTGATAAGATAAATAAGAGAAACATATGGAATCCCATAAACCAAAACCATCAGCCTCATTCTTTTACTAGAAATAATGCAATTTGCTCAAACATTTTTTGCACGCCTTTAATAAAATGCCAAAAAAAAAAAAAAAAAAAGTCAATTCTCAAAACAACCCTTAATTCAACCCAGCAAAGACATTAACTTTAGTCAGTACTACTACTATTTAAATCCAAAAACAAGAGTTAGCAAATCAGGGCGGAATCAAATATGCACGTCAAAAATCACAAACCCAAAATGGTTATCAGATTCAACTCCATTATACAAACAGAAAAAATTAAGATTTAAAAAAATATACATATATAGACAACCGACAGAACCATCATTATTATCATCAACTCGGGGAATAAAAACTAGTCTTAAAACAGGACGAATGCACACACAAATATATATATATATATATATACACATCAAACCCTCTCACGCTACACGGAAACGAAGATTGTCAAAAGAAGCCATTGATCAACCAAAAATGCAAATCAGAATCAGAAAATATATAATGATCATACAATCGATGGACAAATTAAACAAGAACAACAATCGAATAAACAGGCGCATAAGAAAATTATATGAAAAAACATGAACTTTTACAGTAAGAGTTAATGAAAGGATGATCGGTGACGATGGTGAAGATTTCAACTGAAAAATCATACCTTCGCAGAGGCCGATTACTCGTAAACGATCAACTCAATATACAGAGAGATGTGAGTAATTTCAGAGGAGAAAAGGGTGAAATCTCAATATATAAAGCGGTTGCGTTGGGTTGGGTGCTTTGCCTAGTTGTGTACAAAACAAGTATAAAATAAATAAAGACGACGTGAAATTGGCTGGACCGCCCACCCTTAATCCAAAATTATTATGTTATGTATAATTCATATTCATAAATATATTAGTTATTTATATCAAAATTCTCTTGATTATTAATAAATATTATTTTTTTTATTTATAAATTTATATATTTTGACCTATTTAATTAAAAAAATATATCTGGGAGTGACTATCCATTTAGCCTAATTTGATATTTTTAAATTATGAAAAAATTATTTTGCCCAGAAGACTAGGGCTTAATTGAGATTTTGAGCCAATTTAATACTTGGTTTGCAGTGGTGATAAAGAGTTTATAGTCCAATGGAGCTTCAATTAATTATAGTTTTATACTATTTTAATTATAAAATAAAGTAAAAAAAATGTAAAAAAAAAATTAATAAATATATATATATATACACATATATATTCTATGTTTATATTAAAACATTTGTTAAAAAATATATTTATTTTATTATTGAGTTTTGCTAATATTTCAAATTTAAATAATAAATGAAATGTAAATCATTTAATATCTATTCAAGACAAAATAAATAAATAAATTAATAACACATATCTATTTGGTTAAAAAAAAAAAAGTGGATGAGTTTGAGATTTTAGGATTGAGTTTAAGATGGCTAGATTAGACTCGAAGTTAGGCCCAGCTAGCATTAGAATGACAGATATTCTTTTACTATATTGTATAAGCTCAGTCCCTGGCCTGACCCGAGGTTTGTCCGCCCATACTTTTATTGTACACAGGCCCCTTTTATACCATCTTCAAAAGATATGTATTTATACGATTGTCATAATAGAGAGATTAATATGTACCGATTCATAAATGAAGTAAAGGTGATATTCGCTAATAGTTACGGAGTCTTAGTCTAATTAGTCTTAAACATATTAATGTCCTTAATGATTATTGATCTTAATTTATGTATAAAAAATATTTGTAATATTTAAAAATAAAAATTCTAGATACTCATAATTTAAATTTTACAATTCATCCATAATGACATGGCAATAGAATTGAGTCTTACATAATTGAATTTGTAAAAATATAAAAAATAACACAACTAGCAGTGTTATTATTAATATAATTATGAAATTTAAAGTTGTGTGTGTCAATTTCTTATGTAAGAACATGTAAAAGTGTGTTTAATATATAAAAAGATATTGAGTGTTTTTAATATGGGTAAATTACCCTTTACATCCTTATACTTTGTACCAAATCTCACTTTGGTCCTTACATATGAAATTATGACAGTTAATCCCTTTCACTTTTAGTCAAATTCTACTTTAGTCTCTATATATGAAAGTGTGACAGTCAACTCCTTTATATTTTTACTCATTTAAATTACTTACTCAAAAAAATTACTCATTTAAGTTTTTGTTGGGAAAACTAATTTAGTCTGATTTTTTGGCTAATTTAGCTTGGCTAAATTGGTTCCATTTAGGAATAACTTTTGGTCTTTTTTGGTTTGGATGTAATGATTGTTGGAGAAAAAGTGAAATAATTATGGTTTGGATGTGATATTTGGGAGTGGTTTGGAATGTTTTAAATAAGTGCATTTTTTGATTTTTTATATATAAAAAAATGTGTAGAAAAGTAGAGAAAGTGGGTAGAAAAGTAGGGAAGAGATGTTGATAGATATTGATTAATGTGACCCAAATAAGTGTATGTATGCACAAAAAAAAAAAAAAAAAAAATTTAGTACATGCCAAACACCTACTTTGTTTGATTAACTTATTTAGTCTATTTTATCTTTTTATGTTTATTTAGTCAATTTAACTCTTGCAAAATGAGACTTAAATTGTATACACAAAATATAATAAATGAAGATTTTGTCAGGTAAGTAATCTTAAAATAATTAGAAAAAATTAGTGATATGTTCTTGTTCAAAAGTATTTATAAGTATTTAAACTTTAAAAGTTTAATATTCATCTTTAAAGTTTTTTTTTAATAGTGTTACTTTAATTAAAAAAATTAGTTTTATTTTTCAAACTCAATAATGTAGTAGTTTATTAGAATGTTTAAGACAAACTATCTTTCTTAGGTCTTTCACTTCTCTAATTATCAAAAAGTCAAAAAATCAAATATTTTTTTGAGATCTATTACAAAAGTCAAGAAGTCAAAAAGTTATTAAAAATCAAAAAGTTCATACTATTTGAGGGAAGCTTGTGGGGGAAGCTTGTGGGGGAAGTCAAGAGAACAAAATTATTATTTTGCCTTGTGAATTCAAATACCCAAAAGTCAAAAAGTCAACAAGAGTAGAATAGTCATTTTAATTTTACTACAATATTTTATTACACGTATTTTCGTAGAAAGTCAAAAAATTATCCCAAACATATATTTTTCTCTTTACTTTTTTAATCAAAAAGTTAAAAAGTGCACTTACATAACACATCCCAAACAACCAAGTATAAAAAATTATTTAAAAAGCATATTCATATACCAATTTTTTTTTTTTTCAATTTACATTTACAACTCAATGTACTTTTTCTAAACATAACACCTTAATATAACACACTAAAAAAACTACTTAATGTATTTTTATCAAACGTAAGAACGTAATAATTCAAAAAAATTCTTAGTGTATCTTTCCTAAACGTAACACTTCAATCAATGTAACACATAAAAACTCCTTAATGTACTTTTCTTAAACATAATAACGTAACAATCCACAACACTCTCTTAGTGTATTTTTTTCAAACTTAACACTTTAATCAATGCAACACACAAAAATTCTTTAGTATATTTTTTCAAATGTAGCACTCTAATGTAACATTCTAATGTAAACACCAGAAAACTACACTAACAGAAATGTAAAGTTTCACGCTCGACAATTAACACTTCAGCCACCAATCCCTCCAAAAGGAATATTCCATACCTTACTTTTCTATTCTCATCCTAAAAACAAATTAGAAAATTGAAAAAGTAAATCACGAAAGGACATTCACTTAAATTTAACAGTCATGATAGAGGCCACGAATTCGAAGCCTCGAATTTGGCTCGAATGCCGGTATTTTTTTTTTTTTTTTGGCCTGTTGTGTTAGTTAGTTTAGTTTTTTTTCTTTTTTTTAAAAGTCTAATATAAAATATTATACATTTCGCATCAACTCATCATATAAAATTATATGAAATTAACAAAATTTAATCAACAGTTTAACTGATCAGTCAATTTTATCATTTAACCAGTCCAATTTAATTGACTGATCAGTTAGACTGTTGGTTAAAATTCGTTAATTCCATATAATTTTGTACGATGAGTTAGTACAGGATGTCTAATTTTTTGGCACATCTCTACACATAACCACCTTTAAAAAAAATTAATAAAAAAAAACCAACACAGCCTAACAAATAAAATTAAATTAAATTAAAAAAAATTTGATCAGTCAATTTTATTATCCAATCAGTCCAACCCAACTCACTTACAAAATGTCTAATTTTTTAGCACACCCCTATACATAATCACCCCTATAAAGAAAAGAGAGAAAAAAAAAAAAAAAAAAACCAAACTAACACAGCTTTGGAAAAAAGGAAAAAAAAAAAGAAAAAAAAAAGTAGATTTCGAGGCAAATTCGAGCCTCGAATTCGAGGCCTGAATCATTAATCTAAATTTAAATGGTACCAAATCAAATAAATATAATTTTTCATAATAGAAAGGACTAATTGGTTCATAAAAAAACTCTTAAGACACATTCCCCTATATGAGATTTATGGATAAATTTTCTTTTTTAAAATAGTGAATTTCATTGTTTCAAATTAATGAATTTCACTATTCAAATATTGTAGTAAAAAAAAAAAAATGAAATTTTACATCTTATAAGTCTTGTTTAATAATCTCGACAAGAGAATTTCAAATATTTGAATTTTTTGAAAAAACATATATTTAGATTACAATTTATTATTTTTAAGTTTTAAAATCATCCAAAAATAACAAAACAATGCTAATTATTAGTGTTAAGAGTATTTTGGTCTGAAAATGATCTCCGAAATTTAGAGCACTTGAACTATGAAACATTTTTCTTATCTCTTTATACTAATAAAATCTTATATTGGAGATCTAACCAAATCTCTCAAATAATTATACATTTTTTTTTATGAAAAGTGTGTATCATAAAAAAATGTAAAATATGTAAAATGCTTTTAAATTTTGTTTAATCAAATATTTTTTCCCGAAGTAATTTAATCAATGTTTTAAGAATTCTTATTAACGACACATTTTTAATTAATTTTTTTTTTTTAAATATGGTATCATTGTATAAGGAAAATGCTTTTATTCACACAACATAATAAAAAATCACAGTAATACTATATCCACGGAATTTTGGCTTGTCCAAATTGTCCAAATTTATACATGCCTGTCGTCTAGGTAGTCAACCGGTCGGTTGTTCGACTAGTCATCCAGTAATAAGGGTGACAACCGCGGTTGACAAGAATTGCACCAGTCGTCCGGGAGGTTATCCAAGCGGTTGACCAACATTCATAAATTCGAACAATTCGAACAAACTTAAATTCGACAAATGAATAACTTTTCAAAAAACCATTACATTGAATTATTTGAGATTTCACAAAGCCACCCATTAATAGTTTTGGAGCTATATGAACAAAATTGCAAAGTTTCTTTATGTTCTATGAGTTATTGTTTCCTGATCATACTGTCTAAACATCTTATAACATTTTCTAATTAAAACATAATATTATTACCGAAATTGCATCGTACATTCAAAATAATCACATAATAGTCACATGACATATTTTCCCTCCTCCAAGTCCAAGGAAAACAAAAATCAAGATTGTTTTATCCTGTTTCAAACAAAAATAGGCCAATTTATTGGTTAAAAAATGATTGAAACATCGAATTTGAACTCGCCTGAATAGCCCGAATTATACAAGCTAGACAACCGTCTGGATGATCGGAGGCACTTTTGTTAACCTCCATTATCACCCTTGTCAATCAGCATTTGACAGATGATCAACTAGACGACTGACATACACAAATTCGAATGATTCGGATGAGCCCAAATTCA